TTTGGAAGCTTTTTGCAGATGTGAACAGATTTGAAAGTTAAGAAACAGTTGAAAACATAGGTAGCTCCCAGAATCATACGTCCAAAGGTTTATACTAGTTGTCATTTTGATAATGAAAGAAGCATAAAATCTCCACAATTCACTGTTTACGCACCTTGCAATGCAAGTCCTAAACTGAGGGAGTAAATCTATTTAATGTCAAACAAAAGTTTTAATCTTTCATCTTTGCAAAAGCAAGCACTATGATAAATTAATTCCATGTTGCAAGTGAAGAATAGTAATAAGCAAATGAGAAATTAGATATAATATGAATAAAGCTCTTCAATATTTCCCCTCCTAAGCATTAGTTTTCTACCAAAATAACAAAATAAATGGAAGGCAAGCTCAAAATGCATTCAATTTAGGTTTTCAAGTACAGAGTAGGTACACAAATTCTAAATAAAAGCCTTGTCCATTTTCATCTTCCACCAAACTGTGAAAATACTGAAAAGTATTTTAACATTAAATAAGCTTATATTCTGTAAAATAATTTCTTAAGAGGCAAGTACATAAGCAAACAGTCCCATGTTGGACCTCCTCAGAAATAAAACAATGGACAGAAGGTAGAAAGGAGAAGCTTTGGAACATATTTGAACACATTAATTGCTTGTACACAGTTAATCAAGGATGCAACTGTTGAACGAGCCTTCCTCACACTTCATAACTCGGAACAGACTTTCTGTCAAATTGATTGCCCAGTTTCAAAATTCATGAAAAAACAATTAGTCTGTATTAGTTATAGGAACAAATGTTTTGCCATGTAAAAACAAAGCCATTTGTTATGCTGACAGATGGAAATGAGTCTCCCCATTTTGAATGGATACTTTCTTTCCTTTCTCATTGCAGTACTCAGAACAGGGAAAGATCCATTCTCAACAAAATGTTAGATCGAATCATTCAGAGGACAAATGGTCGTACCTCTGAGACCCTCAGAGGCCACCAGTCTGTGAATAATACGTACTCGGCCTGAAGGGACCTGTATCAAGTCCTTGCAAGATTCAAAAACAAAAATTTTCTCTTTGCAGGCAGCTTTCTTGTCTGTGGAAAAAAATGTACCAGGATGGCACCAGAGATGAGTTTGTGCTCCAAAACAAATTTGCTCAAGGCTAGAAACATTTTACCTTTCTCTTTTTAACAGCTCAATGAATCATCACCCAAGAAAAAAATGTCCCTACAAACCTCATTTCTATATTACATCAAACAGCATGTATGTTTTGAATGATCATGCACAGAATCGTATTTATTTAAAACACCGAGGTAACTAAAACTTATGATAAATGGAAGCAGTTTAGTGACATATTACCACTGGGTATTAATCATAGCACTACACAAAGACTCATTTAAAGAAATGATTAGGCTATCTTCTTGGAAACATCACAGAAAAAAAAATATTACTGTTATCTTTTCCCCTCCCTAGAGTAAATTCATGGAGTTATTTTACACCCCTCTAGTCTTATGGGCCCAGCAGACTGCAAATAGGTCTTCTGACAAGAGCAGGAGAGAGAGAGAGGGGAAGACAGAAGAAAGAGAGAGGGAGAAAGAATAAAAACCTAATTACTGGAAGCTTTTAGTTTAGAAGCCTAATAGCCAATTCCAAAAAGTTTTAAAAAAATAATATATCATGACTCCCCAGTTTCTTCCCTTTACACAAGAAACTCAATTATAAATACACGAGAATGTCTCTGGAGATTACTAGATCCCTGCGATGGCTCCCAACTGAGCTTTCTTCAGAAATGTTCTAGCAAATGTAAATTTTACAGAATGGTGAAAAAAAAAAGTTTTTCTCACTTTCCAGTAGCACCTGTCTGGCTGTTAACACCATTTTACAGCCAAAAATGTAATTACATGTTGTCTTATATCAACATAAATACCTTCCTAATGCAGGTCATCTGTTGCCCTATGTCACTGTTTGCTTTCACAGTTTATCACAGCGGGTTCCAACCACCCAAAAACTGCTTTCTGTCGTCTGAGCTGGAGCTGGGCCATGCTTTCTCAACAGTAGCTGTGGCTGCAGAATTCACCACCATAAGAGTTGCAAAAAAAGTTCTTTGGCTGTGCTTTGTGGAACACGTTACAGTTCCTAATCTTCAAACTAATCTGATTTACCCACCTGTCTCTTTTGCTGAGCATGGCATATGCCCTTTACTGGTCAATAGACTGCAAGATACAGTGTTGTACTCATTACTGATTTTTTTCATGGCATATGTCTTTATAACTAAATGCTTACAAATATTTCTACTGCAATTTAGTTAAACGCCTTCCAGTAAGTATCTTAGACACTAGCACTAAGTATTTCTCCACAGGTATCATTCTAAAAGTAGTGTTCTCTGAAGACAAGTATATAAGTAGACAAAAACCCCCACTTCATCAGCTGAACAGTGATCAGCTATCAAAGGTAAAATACTTGAAGTCTTAAGTTCGTTCTTCATTGACAGACCAGTAGCATATTATGTCCGTATTAAGGAATTCAGGGGTAAGAAAGTGGTAGTGTTTTCTGACAGCCACGAGAGTTTTGTCTGATGAATTATTCAGAGATGACAACCTCTTTTTAGATACTTTAAGTTCAGAAGTTCGATTTGTCTCAAGCATAACAAAGTTTCTGTTTTGATCAGGAAATATTGTCAAAAGGGGAAAGCCGGATAACATAGAAGAATAGAATCTGCTAGAACTGAGAAAGAATAAAAATAAAACACAAGGTTCTGAAATCATATGATATGAGAGAAGAGATTATGGCAGAAATGCATTATGAAGCATTCGGTAAATCTATACACTTACAGACTCAAAAACTATTTATATCAAACTATCTTTCTTCGAAGAGGATTAGATATATACTATACCCAGGACACATCACACATTTCTGTTAATTAAAAAACACATTAATTCAGACTTGTTCTTGGCTAATGAATTTATGCCAGTGATCAATGGTGTCATTTAAAACTTGTATTTTTTAAATTACCAGGAAAAACCTGTTTTCACTTAGGTGGAAGGAGAGGGGAGGAGGAAGAACATTTCATTCAGAATTGAAAAAGACAAGGGAAATAATGGTTCTGAAGGATTACAGCTTGATGCTTTGAACTCCATTAGTGATAGTCTAGTCTCTCCCCAACATATAACATTGGCCTGATTTTTTTCCTAGAACCCACTCATAATATTAATAGATCATTTAAACAATCACTAAAATAGATAAATCTGTGACAATGAATTATCACTTTAAAGAAAACCAAAATTTAACTGACTATAAATGTATACATGTTCAGCATGTCCACAAAACGCAACTTCTGAACTACAGAGCTTACACAAATTACAAAGCTACCATTGCCGATCTTACCTGCTGTAACTGTATAGATCCTGAAAATACATAACAAACTTAATTTGCAGGCCATTTTTAGAACTGGAACATGTCAGTACTTATTCTTGTAAAAGGTCAAAATATGTGACAATTCCTGCTGGCAGTACTAGGCCGACATGAAATGACTAGCTGTGTAAGTGTTGCAAGGAGGAAGCTCTGTTGTATGCATATACGTATTTACTACCAATAACGAGTAAAACTTGAAAGCTTCTTACTAATGTAAAATATAAATTTAAAAGTAAAAAGTGCTAGTATATGTAAAGATGGATCTGAAAGACTACGACCAGAGAAATGTGATTACTAGAAAAAATAATATGCTTTAGAGGAAGTAAAATGTTTAATTTCTTTGTATAAGATGAAACACTTTTTTTTCATCTTTCATAATTGCTGAAGAAAAACATCAAAGTAGTCATAATGAGAAAACATTGAAAGTCTAAACTGTTTGTCTTGACAGTTATTTTCCTCACTTTCCAAACCACATCACTTATACATTACACTGTTTCTTACTACTTGGTCATAGTTATCAGTTATTAAAGCTAACCAATGAAATACCATTTTCATTTCAGCTTTGATAAAATACTTTAGCAAATAAACCCTAATAACAGTGCCTAGTAATACATTTTGCTACATGCTAAACATAATCAGGATTCTCCAGATTCAGATTTTTAACTGCTATCAAAAAACTTGGGGCAGAATTCAAATGCCAAATGCTTCTGGATGACATCCAGTCCGGAGAGGTGGGCGAATGGGATTGGTCCGTTGTGTTGTTTTACACAAGATAACATACCTATGCATGTGTGTGTGTGTGTAAAAACACAAGAAAAACACTAAGTAAAATTCCACTCCTAACACCAGGTTGTTTCCTGCCACAGCCAGATTATTATAGTCTAGTCTCCAACAGGTAATTGCAGAGACCAGTGCTGTGCAAATATTTCCTCACATCTTCAGCTTCACTCATGTCTAAATTTATTCAACGATACATGTCCTCAGAAGAAATAAACTTCCATTGCTCTGATTTGCCTCAGTGAAATTACACTCATAACTAAAAAGACACACATTTTTGCAAGAGCAAGGTCTTAAACTCTGTTCTTCTGCAAAACATTAAGTAGTGCAAAGTTTGGCAAGAAAGTACCCATAATGTTAAACAAATGTTGTAGCACAAAGTGGTAATTTCATAACTAATGCATTATATTAAGAGACCTGAGACGAAAAAACCACAAGTGTGCACCGTATGTAATTCATATCACATTACAACTGGGATTTGAAAAAACAGCAACAAAACTTGGGAAAAAAACAAATCTAATCAAAATTTAAAAACACTTAGTAAATTTGCTTTTTTCCTCAGTATCTCACAAAGTTCATTCCCCTCTGCCGTTATTTAAATCCACATATATACATTCCATATATTTTATACTATATACAGACATTACAATTCAGAACAGTATTTTAAGACAGGAGAGTGGTTTATGCTTATATAACTATAACAGAGGCAACGCTACCAGGAAAATTATAAGGGCAAAGGCCACTCACTTTCATACCAAAACATAGTATTCAGTGCTAGTCAGTGTACGCTCAGAGGCACTCACAGGTACACAAGAGTGATTTTCAATACCTGAGAAGAAGTGTGCCTTGAAGCCTTTTTTTGACACAGTGTTGTCAGATCTGAACTCGATTCGCATGTTGTTGTACTGAGAGGTGATAACTTCAGGCACTTCTGTACCACAGAATTTACCGTGTAGTTTAGAATCAGAAGAAAGGCCACTACGAATCTCCACATAATCGTATTTGCAAACCTGAGAAAAGAAAGAAAATATTTTTCTTTTTTGGCTAACCAAAAGAAAAGCATGACGTTATTTACAAGTGCAAGAACTCTGATTGGTATACGCTGCTTCATAACAGGATAATAGTATCTTTTTTTTCCACTTTTCCCTGACTGAAAACATTTGCAAATGCTTAAAAACGTTCACTGATTTTGTGTAAGAATATTTTAAGGTCACTAAGGCATAACTATAATATGCATTACGTTCAAAACTATATTTTGATAGCGACTAATCTATGCTAAGCATCTCAATTTCAAGATGCTTAGTAATGTTTCCATTTAACCTAAAAAGTAACAATTCCAGTGACATTAGACTAAAATCTAGAAATATTCACCCTAAAAATTATACCTATCTTTGTGCTATAAACCACATATCCAGAAACTATAAACTTTCTACTGCTTGTATCTCATAGATTTTTTAAAAATATTTTCACTTAGAAACTTACAAGACAGGTTTCTACCATAATGTATTTAAGCCATTATTTTATTTCCAAATACATAAATCTGCACTATTAAAACTATACATTTTTCTTTAACAGTAGCATAGCTATAATTTGGTGGGCTGATGCATGTCATTTTCATTAAAAGGTTAAAAATAAAATAATATAGTGTAATAAAAAGGCCTTATGCAAGGCCTACTACTCGTGATAATACTTTCAATTCATAATCCCTTGGTCAACCTAAAGCCTTCCACCCAAAAACTTCTAAGCTTCTTAGGCTCAACTATCAATCATTTAATCAGAAATGTCCCAGCTGTCTGCAATTAACAGCTTAAGAGAAAACAGTGGCCAGGAGGATACATACAGAGCTTAAATTGTCCATTAAATCCAAGTTGTATTTGATAAATCGCAATTTCTAGTCAAAAAAGAAACGTCGGGGAGCTGGAGGAGAACTACAGAAAAGGGTGTTTTGGCCTGTTTTGCACGCTCTCCCTATGAAATATTAAATGATTGTCAACATTTCCAATTTTTTTGAATATAAGACATTCTAGACATAGATTAAATTTTCATTGTTACTGGAACAGTTTTCATATGTTGCAGAGTTGGAAAGTGATTGATCCAGTTGACGCTACTTTTATACAATATAAAGAACACAAAGATTTATAAAACCTGAGTTACTGCCACATGCTGATTTATATTAATGGTAAGATAAATTCATGTTAATGCATGTGATTTTCATATCTATCTATCTACCTCACAATGTTAATAAATCCCAGCAATTTCAGCAATACATCAGTGGTGAGTTTTGATGGGTTTATAGCTTTAGATTAGAAATGAAATGTAATTTCAGATAGGTCTGATTTCCTTCATACTACACTATATTAAAAAAAAGAATTACAAATTAAATGTAAAATCAAAATTGTAAAATGTAAATGTGAAATATTAAAATTGTAATATTGGAAAAGTCATATTAAGCTTGGTCCTAAAAGGAACTTCTATTTAAAAAAAAATAAAAATAGACCATTTGCTAAATGTATACATTTTATGTCTGCACTCGGACAATATATTGGAATGTTCCATATATTATACGTTTCTTCTGATTTTCAAAAGTATCATTCTTAGTATTACTATTTAACAACATAAAGCTGAGATTTAGTAGTACAGGAGAGGATCAAACCAAAGTTCTAAATGTTAAAAAACATTATGCATACATTTTCATATTGCTTAAGTTGTGTGTCTTGTATGACTTTAGAAAACTGATTTAACTTCATTATACCCCAAGTATCTTCCTTGCAAATCTGGCTTAAGTACCAAGAAAGTGCAGGAAAAATGTTTATGATTTCATTTTTGTTCAAATGGCAATTAAATTTTAATTCTTTGGGATTTGTAAGTTTTTCTCACACCTTTTGCAGTTCTTGTAAACAAAGATAACAGGACATGAGTGTAAGATATAAATCATTAAAAGTTGGAATTTCATGGTCTTTAGAACCCACCCCAAATAATTTTAAAAAATAATAAAAATCTCACATTGCTGCCTCTGCAAATAATTTTGAGATATTTTGGAGAAACCATGGCTGGGTTGTTTCTTAGTTATAAATTAAACTCCAGCTTTTGCCACTTCAGATCTCATGCCCAAAACATGGCCCATCCTCATATCAAATATGCTGCTATAAATTTTAGTCAGAAATAATGTTGTGGGATTTGGGTTCTTAACACTATGTGAAGAATATCCAGATAAACTCGATGGAAAGAGCATGGCAGGGAAACTCAGGGGTATGACAGAGCAGAACAGAGGCTGAAAAGTTGATATTGAAACCCACATTTTACTGATTTGCTCCCAAAAACACCGCAACCCCCGCCACTTTGTTTGAAGCTACAGGGAGGAGCCCTTACCCCATGGAGGGCTCTGCCCTGCCCCTCTCCTCTCCCTGGGGACAAGACCCCCCCATGCCTCCGGGGGCTGCCCAGCTCAAACACGGATGATGTTCTGTTCCGCCTTATTTTGGGTACTGCTCCTTTTAAAAAAATCCCCCCATTGAGACACTTGTAAGTGATTTAAATGCTCCCTCACTCCATCACTAACCAGAGCTTATGTGTATTCTTTGTAGTCATAGTCTGTAAAGATGATTTGGTTTCTCCAGATTTTCTTCTCTTGAATTCTTTCCAATATGCCTCAGCCATTTGCTCTGTTTTACTTTGTTGATAAAAAAAAGTCAGCTGAGACTCAGCAGAGAACATTTCTTTTAAATTTCTTGTAATAAGTATACATTTAGATGATATGTAAAAGAGAGCTATTCTCTCCATGTTTGTTTTGAAAGAATCCAGAAACAGTCCCAAAACGAAAACAAGAATATCTATGGTTATTGTCAGCGTATGAAGAGTCAGCAAGGGTTTTATAAGACAATATCTATTTCTGAACGCTTGTGAAGCTGTTTAGCGTGTCACAGATTGTGCAGCTCTTTGTTCACGGTTACTTACTTCATTCCCTTCTAACTCAAAAAACTCAAACTTCATTGAAATTCGGTATTGCGTCGGGGCAACCACCTGCCACACACAGTTTTTGTTTGGAGGATACTCTTTGGGCCACCCTGGTGTGGTTATAGTCCCATTTAGCTTTGTCAGGAGTCCTCCGCAAGCAGCTGTAAAATTAAAAGGGAGAGCATCGTTTCTTGACTGCAACCATGTTTTACTATAAACAGAAGCACACTGAGAAGACTCAGTCCTTTTATTACTTATACCGCTGTAACGCCCAGACAGACTAATCAGAATCTTGTTTTATCATGTTTGGTGCAAACAAAGCGAAAGAGACAGCCCCTATCTTGAACAGCATGCAGGTTTGCGGACAGAGATAAGTTTCAGGACTACACAAGGCGTTATCATATTCATTCTTTTCCCTTCCCTCCAGAGACTCTGGTTATTCTCTCGCAGCCTTTCCCATGCATGTCCTCTGACCTCACTGCCCTCCCCAGGACCTTGACCACCCCTCTTCTGACAGATGGACTACTTAAGATGCGCTTCGCATTCCCCCAGCTTCTCTTCTTGATTATTGATCCAGAATCGGCCCTACCTGTCTCAGCTCATATAGCTGCATATGCCTCCCATAACCTACTAGATAGGGTCACTTCTTTGGGATAGCGCTCACGTACTCTCCAGGCACAATTACTTTAGCCGAAGTATGGATGTTCAAGTAATAGAGAAAATACCTATCCAACATATATTTGGAAATAATAGTCATGTTCATACAACAGAACAATACTTTACTATGTTTGTGAATGCAGTTCAGAGAGCAAAGGATAAACACATTAATCTTTTCCATCTGTGGGAAATTTAAAAAAAAAAAAAAGTAATGGGATTTGCAGGGGTTCTCGATCACACTCTGCTCCACTGATACCATTCCAGCACTGTGGCAGCACTGGAAATCATCCACAAATCTCTTTCTAATGAGCTGGTGGGGGGAAGCTCCACCCTCTTCCAACTGCTCTGTGCTAATGCAGAATGCTTTAAAAACTGCCTGTTCCTGCCTAGCTGATGGTCTCACACACTACATCTACCTCATCACACACACCTGGGACAACTCTCCAGTTTCTGTCAGGGCACACTTGGCCAACCCAGACACATACATCTTCCTCCTGGCACCTGGCTTTCCATGCAGATAACTTCTTGGTATACATGTAATCTGATGGGTGGGGGGACTGAGACCCTTGGTCACACCTCGGTGTGTCAAAGAAAACTGGGCACAGGTTTAGACACCACACTCAGATGACACAAGTTGTACCCCAAATAATCCAGTCTGGGTCAGGGTGACCAGTGACTGCTTTTCAACATCACTCCATTGTTCCTTGAGGCAATGGTGGGAAACACAGAAATACCGAAAAAACCTACCTCTTAAAGCCTTCCAACATGCTGACAGCAGGCAGATTTGGATTAGACCAGCATGAAGCAATTTTCTGTGCATGTCAACACTGCAGTGAAGCACTGGGCAGAGTTTCTGAGTTAGAGCCTTCTACTCTGGCATCATGTGTGAATTAATACAGCTAGGTCACCCCTTAAATTCCCAACTAGGAATGTAATGCTCACCGTGACTACACAATGATTTTAATTCAGCAGATCCTCAAAGTAGTATCTACATCCAGCAAGTGCTACCCTGCGTGGAACAAATGCATTTACACTTTTAGAGATAGCTCAGGAACTTTACTCCACGCTGCACTGCACTACTTTGAACAACTCCTCTTTTTGCCAGAGTTGCTTTTCTGTTCGAGTACCAAGGAGGTATTCCTTCTCTATTTTTTGGAGGCAGAAGGAAGAGTTTTCTGAAAGACTGGTAATCTTCCCTAATTTTCTGACTCAGATCAGCAGACAGACTAAACCAAACCAAATTCCTTACATAAATTAGGGCTGATGATCAAAGGCCCAGAGACCAAACCTGTCTTCATGGCCCCCATTAGATTAACCTTATTTTATGCAGACATCTTAATACAATAGGCTTTTTGAAATAAATTGGTTTTCAAATGTGCTCACTATTAAAGTTGAGGGAAAAAAAACCCAAAACCCTCAACCAAAAAAACAATGGGCCTGATGAGAGCTGTAGTCTAACATGCCTGTAGCCTACAACTATTCACCACCTCATGCACACACAAAACAAACAAGCAAAAAACCCAACCCTACAGATCAAAAAGCAAAAGAAGAAAAAGTGCAAAGAAAGTAAGCAAAACTACCCCAAATTGTGACAAATCATGAATTAAAGCCAGGGAATTGGAGAAAAAAAAAATACCCCAGTGAATCACATCTGAAGAAAACCATAACACTGAGCACTCCAATTTTCAAACTCCATTCACTACTGGAACAAACAGATGAATTGAGATAAGAATAATTTGTGCTGTCCCTGAATTTATTGGTGTTTATGAATACAAATCAAACAATAATTGGTGTGCAATAATCAAGAGCTTTTGCTCCTTTCCTTTGATATGAAATGTATGGAATGCAAAAGCTTATCTCAGTCTAATCCTGTGTTTACACAGACTTCCATTTATTTTATTTCTCCAAATGACTATTTAAATATGCTTTCCTGACCCTGAAACACAGAATTTGTTTCCAGCACGAAAAGCCCACAGTCTGACTGGGGCTGGGGAGGAATTCTCTGAGCTTTGAGAATAAAAGATCCTGCTCTTCAAACCAGCCACTTCCCAGTCACATCCCAGTCAGAGGTGGTCAGAGGGATCATTAGATATTCTGATTCTCAGACAGCAGCACATTGCTCTGCTGAGAATTGTCTCCTTACGTATGGCAGGAGACTTTGCTTTAATGAGTTTGAATAATGTAAGTGGTTTGAGAAGGTACGAAGTTCTACTTTGCCTCATTCCCAATCGACAAACAGCAAAACCTGCACAGCTAAATTAGTGACAGACATCGGATGAAGATGACTGCTGTGGACAGACATCACCCCAGCACCACTGCTTAAAAGGGAGCACTGGTTTTCCAGGCTGGGTTCCACAGATCTCGCACTGCTAGGACAGAGCGTACGAAAGGCGTGGCGTTTCATTCAAGCGATGGCACTCTGTGAGCTTTAAGAGCCCACAACACAGCAATGCACTGTACCTTCACAACTCTTTTTGTCAGGACCAAGTTCGTAGCCAGGATCACAGGCGCACTGGTAACTGCCCAGAGTATTTACGCAGCGCTGCTCACAGCCACCATTGTCAGGTTTGGCACATTCATCTTCCTCTGCCAAGACAGGGAAGAATACAAAAATGTGTTAAATAATTACCGTCCTCAGCTGTAATTGCTGGATCAATATTAACCCAGAAAGCCTTATACATGCCATTGTAAGGTGCACTACATAACACACTGTGGTTGCTGACTAGAGCATTTTCAAATGCTAAGGAGACCTGCAATGGAGAAAAAAAAAATTTGTCCTTTGTGGGGTTTGGGTGGGTATTTTTACAACAATACCTACTGACAGCTGCAGACCTAATTTATAAGCACTTTGTGGGCAGCATACAATAATTCAGGCAGCTGTAATCTAAAGGTTGTATAAAGTATTGAAAGAAAGATTGAAAATCCACAGCAGGGTCACTTGAAGGGCACTTTATCTCCCACAGAATCAATTTGTGCATTATCCCGAATTCATACTCAAAAACAGATTAACAGAATCCTCAAATCCCAGGTTTTCATTCTACTGATATTAAAGGGAACAAGATGCATCAGGGATGGGGGAGGGAAAGGAAAAATGTATTATCTCTACTAGCTCTGAAGTATACCCACGAGATTCATTGTTAAAATATTCCTCAGCTGTTGAAACATTGTTTTCTTACACCAGGACAAGCAATTTCTTCAGAATAAAACAGAGCTCCCACTCTCATGTCTGAGCCTTCAAGGTTATAATTGTCTACAGTGAAAACTAACAGTTAGGTTAATAAATGCCCCAGCTTCTGGCTTTTCAAAAGAGCTAAAATGTTCTCCTGGTGGGGTGACCTGTACTTCGGGTGTCACCATGGCCACACCACTGCTAGTGTCTTTCACTCCGCCGTGAGCAGCACAGGGTAGGAATTACGCACTCCCCGTGCACCAACTACTGCAGGTAGAGCTGCAATTGTATGATGTGCCCACCCAGACCAAAACTAGAGGAAGACCGTGAGGCCATTGATCACTGTATGATTTCCCAGTTGCATCTTTTTTTTCCTTGCTCACAGAACGTAATAAATTGATAAAGCTGCCGAATGCAGCAACGGGATTAGAAAAACCACAATATCTAGACAAAAGAAAAAAACTTAACACAAAAGACCAAGTTGTCTCTATTGTGATTATACTATTTAACTTTATATTTGATAATACAATATGTACAAAACTCCCATTTTTTTACAAGATAAAATGTATTTCAGGGATGTTTCAAAACTAAGCTGATTATTTGAACTTGAAGAGAGGAGGAAGTTGCACTGAATATGTTTGTTCATACTTTGGACATATTTTACAAGAAGATAAAAATACTTCAACTGTTTTGATTTGATAAAATTGCATGCCCAAGTAAAAAATATGCTGGAGAGAGTACAGAACTGATTTTAGAAAAAATAGGTTGATAAATTTTTCATATCCTATCATATTTTTTCTAGTACGAAACCAAGTGATAAGCAGTTCACAGCTCCCAAAATATGCATTAACATTTACCTTTAAAAAAGTTAGCTGCAAACCCCGCTTTGTTAACAGTTCCATCAGAAACAAACTTCATCCACAGGGTATTAGAGGTAGATCTAATGTCTTCTGGCTTGTCGTAGCCACAAAAGTGACCAATTAAAGGGCTGTTTTCATTTGTTCCATCTCGAATTTCCAAGTAGTCATATGCACAGTTATCATGTCTTTCAATCTGTAAAAAAAATATTTTTAAAGCGACCTCTTTGAACTTGACTATAAATATCAAATATCAATCAGCTAATAAGCACAATGGAAATTTTTCAAAGTTAAGGTTAGGGTTCTCTGTTTAGGGTTCAAGCACCAGGAAGATGAGGAAAAGAACAAGCATCACTGGACTGTTTTTAACTATAGCTGTTTTCTACAAGAAGAAATAATTTTTTGTTAGACAGGACACAACAGTCTAACTAGCAAAAAGTAACTTAAAAATGACACAGCCACCTCTAAGCTTCCTAATGTTGTGCCATTGAATTCCTGCTCCGAGTTTAAGTCCTCTTTTCTCATGTTCGCTCAAGTACACAAGATTAATGGTGCAACAACTAACCAGGTCAGAAATACTAATTTGTTTTGAAATATTGAAAAGCTCAATTTTGATTAATATGCATAAGATTTTTAGACATTATCAACCTGTGCTATTTCAGGTGATGATCAATACTTTATTTTCTTCCTTTATCTTCAATATAATGTAAAATTTTGCATTTGTCACTACCCACTGATGTTGCTGCGTAACTGTAAAAAATTACGGTGCATTAAGAGTTTGGGGCATCTGTAGAATTAGATCCAAATACACTTCTAAAATTATCACCTCTTAAGTAGCCAACAGAACAGATGACAAAAAAAATCATAATTATTTTTCTGCAGCTGATGTGTCTGGTTTCTGATGCACGATTCCTTATTTCAGGTGTCGTCTTTCGACTTGCTGGGTCAATGAGTAAATCTTTGCCATCCTGATGGAGAAAGCTACTGAAACCAGAACAACTGAAAATGTGCCTCTTGCTCAACCATCCTGCCAGATGACATCCAAACAGAGATTAGCATGTGAGTGGACACGTGTGCGTTTCTACTTGTGTAGCAAGTCTTGAGCTCTTTACATAATAGTATTTGCAGTCAGTAGAGTGGGAATTGCACCAAAGAAGACAGCAGTAGCAGTCCAAATATGATCCTATCCAGAGCCTAGATAATTTATGATGCCTGTCTGTGCTAGGTTTGGCTGGGGTAGAGTTAATTTTCTTCACAGTAGCTAGTATGGGGCTATGTTTTAGATTTGTGCTGAAAACGGTGTTGACAACACAGGGATGTTTTAGTTGCTGCTGAGCAGTGCTGACACAGAGCCAAGGGCTTTGCTGCCTCTCACCCCACCCCACCAGTGGGATGGCTGGGGGTGCACAAGGAGATGGGAGGGGACACAGCCGGGACAGCTGACCCCAACTGCCCAAAGGGATATCCCATACCATATGATGCCATGCTCAGCATATAAAGCTGGAGAAAGGAGGAGGAGGAAGGGACGATGTTCAGAGTGATGGCATTTGTCTTCCCAAGTAGACATTACACGTCATGG